TAGGTGCGCGCCGCGGAGCGTCCCGCGCGCCCCTTGGAGGGCACCCTCGGCGGGGCGGCGGCGCGCGGGGCTGCATGGAGGCCACGGAGAAGCAGCAGCTGTTGGACGCCAGGCCCGGAGCCAGGTAAGACGAGAGCTTGGGGAGGGGCGGGAATTTGGGCGGCATCAGGCGCACCTGCTGGCTTGCCATCCTGGCCGCGGTTAGTTTGGGCGGCGACTTGAACTGGGACCACACAGGAGGGGTGGGGTGAGGTGAGGGAGAGAGGAAATTGACCGTGGCCCCCGGGGATCATCTTGTTCCCTGCCCATTAGGGCGGAGGAGTCTAAGGCCTGAAGTCCCAACCCCGGCCCAGCACTTTGTCCCAGGGCAGCCTCGCCCCTGGGAGGCCCTGTGTCCCCAAGTGCGTTGGAGGGGAGCTCTGCTGTTCTCTCTGAGCCTTCTCCTTGCACGACTGGACAGCCCGCCTTTTGGCAAGTTCCCAAGGTCTTTGCCTCCTCCAGGCCTTGGAAAGGATGGGGGAAGAGGAGACCCTGGGACCAAGGCCCCAGCACTCCCATTCCCCTCTGAACCCAGGCTTCTCACCTTCTGATCACTCCTCAGACACTGTTGAGCTTGGAGTGTCCTTAGCTATTCCACCCATTGGACACATGGAAACACCACGGCCCCACAGAGAGATGGGATGGGAGTCAGCCCTCCTTGCCCCTGTCTCAGAACTGAGTGTTCCCTCTGCCTTCCTCTGGCCAGGTCCTACACAGGATCTCTGTGGCAGGAGGGGGCTGGCTGGATCCCTCTGCCCCCGCCTGGCCTGGACTTGCAGGCCATAGAACTGGCTGCCCAGAGTAACCATTACTGCCATGCCCAGAAAGATCCTGACAGTCACTGTGACCCCTCGAAGGAGCGGGCCCAGCGCCAGCTCTATGTGGCCTCTGCCATCTGCCTGGTGTTCATGATCGGGGAAGTAGTTGGTAAGGACTTTTGTGCTAATTAAATGAATAGTGCGTGGATACTGGATGTTCCCAGTAATATTAATACTAGTAGCCCCATTTACTGAATACTCACTATGCTGAGCCCTTTATATGTGAGGGTACTTCAAAAGGTTCATAGAAAAATAGAATTGAAAGATAACATAAATCCAGCCATGAGATTTTTGAAGACCCCTCGTACACATCTCATGCAATTCTGATGAGAACCTTGTGCTGTCACGTCAGTGCTGTTATTCTTTATTTTACAGATGATGAAATTGAGGCTTTTTATAGTTATTTAACTTGCAAAAGATCACACACAATAGGTAAGGGAAGGTCTGAATGCATAAAAGAAAAGAGCATTTATTCTGGCCAGCCACAAAAAAAAAAAAAAAAGAAAGAAAGAAAAGAAAAGAAAGAGAAGAGCATATATTGAGTACCTACTATGCTTTCCAGTCTTTATTGGAACTTGATTTTCACATTCACCCTCTAAGTAGATGTTGTCAGTGCATTTCACAGAGAATGGAAGTTGAGGCTCAGAGAGAGTAAGTCACTTACTTATGGTTGTATGGCTAATGAGTGGAGAGATGTCGAATCCAGTGTGTATTCTTCCAGAGTCTGTGGTCTCCCTGCTTCACACACAGTCTGGGGAGTTGGCTCTTTGGGGAGCTAATAAGGACCCTACACCCTCCTGGCCTTGCCCCTGCAGGTGGGTACCTGGCACATAGCTTGGCCATCATGACCGATGCAGCCCACCTGCTCACTGACTTTGCCAGCATGCTCATCAGCCTCTTCTCTCTCTGGGTGTCCTCCCGGCCAGCCACCAAGACCATGAACTTCGGCTGGCAGCGAGCTGGTGAGAACCCCGGTGGGGCTGGAGATGGGGTTGAGAGAGAGGGTGGCTCAGAACATGGGTTCTCAGGTGGCTGTAGTAGGTGGATCCCTGAGTGAGGCCAGGAAGGTGACTTGGGTGGGGGAAGAGGATGTCAACCTTGGCCTCTGTCCTCTGGGAACTCCCAGTCTGCTGGGGGAGCTCTGATCCCAGTCATCTTGGAGCTTCCAGTCTGAAGAGAAGCAGAGTACACCATCCCAAGAAATGAAGTGACCAGACATCAAGAGCAAATGACAATGGCATTAACACTGCACATAACTCCCTGGATCATCAGTTGGGGGAGGGAAAGGTCAGCAAAGCAAAGATACAGGCTTTAAACCCTCTTTAGTTCACTTGTGGGCTGCACTGTCATTTTCCTTTGCATGGGAGATGGCCCGGCCTCTCTGCAGAAGCCTCAGTTTCCCAGCTAAGCAAAACGTATATATTTAATTAATTTATTTATTTAAAAAGATGACCGGTAAGGGGATCTTATCCCTTGACTTGGTGTCATTAGCACCACGCTCTCCCAAGTGAGCCATGGGCCTGCCCTCAAAATGTATATATTTTAATAAGTCAGTTTCTTTACATGTAAAACAAGAGAGGTTGACCCAGATGACTTCTAAAGTTGCTTCTAGCTCTGACATTCCCAGATATATGAGTTGTGGGGTAAGGTGCCAGCCCCACCTTCAGCTGAGCCCAACCGGACTTAGGCCCTGACTTTGTGGTGAGGGGGAGAGGGATCATGGAGGGACGGGGAGGACTTCTTGGCCTTAGACCCCATGCTAAGGTTGGTGTGGGGGTTGGGTTCTTCCTCAGAGATCCTGGGAGCCCTGCTCTCGGTGCTGTCCATCTGGGTCGTGACTGGAGTACTGGTGTACCTGGCTGTGGAGCGGCTGGTCTCTGGGGACTATGAGATCAAAGGGGGGACCATGCTGATCACGTCAGGCTGTGCCGTGGCTGTGAACATCATGTGAGTATGACCTCGGTTTCCTATGACTCCTTCCTCCTTCCACCTCTTACATGCATACCTATGTCTGCTCTCGATGGAAGACCATGCCACAGTCCAGCATAGGCCACAGGGACAGAATTTCCCGAATGGTCTGAGCTCTGGCACCTGAAACACCCGAGTCCCGCATTAGGCCTAGGCAAGGACATTAGGCGCTATAAATCTGGGGCCACATCAACTCTGCCCCCTCTCCCATGCGTGTCAGTGAATAACCTTGGAGGCTTCATACCTGAAGTGGGGAGGGGTGAGTCCAGTTGCTGCAGTAGATGTCCCAGGGGCAGAACCTGAGTCCCTTTTCACACTGATGTGCCTGAAATTGGTCTCAGTGAGAGGCAGTGGTATGTACAGCATGGTGTCTTGTTTGGGCTCTTTCTCTCCCTTGCTCAGTGGCCTTAGTTTCCCCAGCTGTGACATGATGAGATGAACTAGATGACCTCCATAATGCCCTCCTGCTCTGAGATTTGGCATTGTGGTATTTCATGCCCAGACTCCGCCTGGCATTGGAGCTGAGCCCTTTCTCCTGTGGCTGTCCTGTGGGCTCCTCACATGGCCAAAGGGATCACGTAGAGTGTGGGGGCTTGAGATTTTTGCCCCACAGGGAGGCCATCCCTGATGGGTGCCTCAACCTGCTATCTCAGTGAGTCCCTTGGCTTTCTCTCCACTTCTATAGAATGGGGTTGACCCTTCACCAGCCTGGCCATGGGCACAGCCACAACACCAGCCAGCAGCAGGTGAACCCCAGTGTCCGAGCTGCCTTCGTCCATGTGATTGGGGACTTTCTGCAGAGCTTGGGCATCCTGGTGGCAGCCTATATTTTATACTTCAAGGTCAGAACTGAGGACAGAGGGAGGAGGGTGGGGGAGAAGCATGGGAGTGTAGATCATCTGGGGCTCCTCTCTGCACAGGGCCATTTCCAGACTCCAGCTTCTCCCAGCTCTGGGCAAAAGGATAGGGAGAAAGAAGGAACATTTATCCAATACCTACCAAGTGTCAGCCTTTCTGATCTTCCCAACATCCCTGAGGGGGTAGGCAGTAGTGTTTTCTGCATCTCAGAAAGGTTCAGTGACTTGCACAGTGTCACACAGCTGGTAGGTTGGGAGCCCTATTCAGACCCAGGGCTGTGTGTTGCCGAAGCCTGGGCATTGCTCAACACATAGAGGCAGTGAGCTGTAGTGGAAAGAGCCAAGCATTGGTTGGAAACCTGGCTGCACTCCTTGCTAGCTGTGTAATGTTGAGTGAATTGCTTGCTCTGACCAAGACTTAATTTTCCCATCTGTAAAATGCGGATGGTGGACCAGATGGTGTCTAAGATTCCTTCTAGTTCTGTCCATGTCTCAGCCCTTTGGGCAAGGAGTGGTGAAAAGGGAATATGCCTTATCCTGAACTGAGATCCTGAACGGGTCCCGCCTGATCTTCTGGATATGGAATAAAGAGTAGAAAACTGGGAGGCAGGGCCAGGGTGAGGCTCAGGGTGAGCCCCTCTCCCCTACACAGTGCAGGGAAGGAGGGGGCCAGGGAAGCTGAGGTGTTGGGTGGTGAACAACCCAGGTCTGCCTTCCCCTTTTCCTGTAGCCAGAGTACAAGTACGTAGACCCCATCTGCACTTTCCTCTTCTCCATCCTGGTCCTGGGGACAACCTTGACCATCCTGAGAGATGTGATCCTGGTGCTGATGGAAGGTAACCTGGGATTTGGGGCTCCCTTTTTACTCTTGGCCTTCAAGTGCAAATCAACCTCAAATGGGAGGCACGTGTGTCAGGGGGATCCCATCACATTGGTGGGAAGCCAAGGTCTGGAGCCTGGCATAGGCTGGAAAACCTCCTATGGGGGCCCCAGGCTGATCTTGGCATGGAGCTGGGCCCTCAGGTGTGGCAGTTCCTGGAACTGTCCGCCGGCCCGTGCCTTCTCTTCCCCCTAGCCCCAAGGGTGCTCCTCCCCTGCTGGGCTGTGTCCTCCCTGCCTAGTCAGGTGGTTTCTGGGTGGTGTCTGTGGCACCTGGAACTCCAGCCTACCCCACACATTTCCTCAGTCTCTAGCTGCCCTCTCTCAAGAAGAGAGAGGGGCGAGGATTATGCTTCCCATTGCACAGGCAGGCAGACTGAGGCTCAGAAAAGGACAGTCAGTCTTGGAAGAGGCAGCTGAATCCCCTCCAGCTCAGGCCTTTCCTACAACATCTCAGGGACCAAACCATGCCACTGCCTAGGGAAGGCACGACTGCACTGTGAGGGGTTGCTCAGTGGTGGAGGGTGGTCTGCCAGGGACAGCCGCTTTCATTCACCTGGGCTTTCTTATGTGCTAGGGCCTCGGGGCGTGGCCAGGGGTGTGGGTCTCTGTATGGTCAGAGTCAGTCTGGAGTTGAGTTGGGCCCCAGTCTGGGGTTAGCAGGAATGTCTGGCTGCAGGTCAGACCTTCTTCTCCAAGAATATGACTGACCCAGATGAAAATGATGATCATCGTCATCATGCCCTGGGTGGAGCCAGGGAGTCTCAGGTTCTGTTCTTTCCTTCTTTTCTTCCTTCCATTAAAAAATATATATATATTTTTAAAATATACATATTTATTTATTGAGCACCCACTATGGGCACATGGGAGGATACAGTGGTAAACAGAATAGACTGTCCTGTTCTCATGGAGTTTCCATTCTAGCAGGGAAACATGCAATAAATAAATTAACAAATAACTTCAGACGGTGCTAAGTGTGCAGAAGAAAATACGACAGGGTGATATGATGGAGAGTTTGGGAGGCGGCGGCCACATCAGACCTGCTGGCCAAGAAGGTCTTCTTTGAAAAATAAAAAATAAAAATAAATAGAAAAAGAAGAGAAAAGAAAGAAAACAAAGGAAAAACAAAAAAAGTAAACAAACATAAAAGGAGATCTTCTCAGATGACATTTGAGGAGCAGAAGCCAGCCCTGCACCCATGGGCATGGGTGGGAGAGGCAGTTTCCCTTAGCCCCTGTCCCTGCCATCCTCAGGGACCCCCAAGGGCGTGGACTTCACAGCTGTGCGGGATCTGCTGCTGTCGGTGGAGGGGGTGGAAGCCTTGCACAGCCTACATATCTGGGCACTGACCGTGGCCCAGCCCGTGCTGTCTGTCCACATAGCCATTGGTGAGTGGTTGGCACACTTGGGGTAGGGTGAGGGAGAGAGGCAGCCAGAGGCCTGGGGTTATCGCCAGTGGGTCCAGATGTCCCCAGATGCTTGCAATGCCCAAGCATTGGGCCTGGGCCCTTGCTGAGCATGCACATTATTTCATTTAATCATCACAATCTCATTTATCGATGAAGTAACTGGGGCTGGGGTGGGGTGGTGAAGCCACCTGCCCAGGCTTTCACAGCTTAGAAGTGGCAAAAGAAGGCATATTCTAAACCTGGGAGCCTGAGGGTTGCCCGATGCAGGAGTGGAACCCCAGGATTTCTTGATGTTCATGGTCCCCTATCCTGTTCTGCTGGGGGTGGGGTGTGAGACTTGGGCTCCTGATCATTCCAAAGGACCAGGAGTGAGTAAACAGTTCTCTGGTGCCTCTCCTGGTGTGTCCTCTCGGCCCCCAGCTCAGAATGCAGACGCCCAGGCTGTGCTGAAGGTGGCCAGCACTCGTCTCCAGGGGAAGTTCCACTTCCACACCATGACCATCCAGATCGAGGACTACTCTGAGGACATGAAGGACTGTCAGGCATGCCAAGGCCCTTCGGACTGACTGCCTGGCCAGGTGCCAACTGGGGCATGGACAGGACCTGCAGGTGGCCGGACTGAGTGTCCCCCAGCCCCAGCCAGGACTCTGCCTACCCCACTTGCCCCCTCCTGACCTCTGCTCCATGTTTAGTGTGGAGTTTTGCCCCACTCCAGGAAAGGGGCTCCTCCCAACCTCTTCCTTCTGACTGTAGCCAGCCCCAGGGTGGGCACTCAGCAGGTGTAAAGGTAGTATGACCCTGTTCCTCCAACTCCTGGGTCAGCTCCTGGCAGGACTGTGTTTGGGCCTAATCCTCAGCAAATGCTGTCCTACCACCTGCAGCAGGAAGGGCAATGAGGCTCAGTGTGGGACCATAGAAGGGGACACTGGTCTCAATGTTCCCTCGCCAACCTGCCTCTTTCCCCATTTTCAACCTATCAGGGCTTTGCCTTGTGAATCTGTAAAGAAGCCCTGGAACAGAGCCCCCTCCCCTGCCTATAACAATATGGTTTATGGAGGCTGTGGGGGCGGGGAGGTGTGAAGACCCCGCACTCATACAAGCTGGGGGCGCCTGAGGCCTGTCTGTCACTCTAGCTGTGAGCCAAATGTTGCCCTTTCCTGGAGGGGGTGGCTTCTTACTAGCTAAGGACCTGGCTGGTTTCCTCTGTCCTTATTGCTCCAGCCCAGGAAGCTGTGCCAACACAAAGATACCCTTGCCATGGTGGTGGTGGACACAGATTTCAGAGATTTCAGCTTGGGTCCTGCTCTCGAAGCCTCACAGCCCCTGGGCTGCTTCTCTTTCCATGACAGTGTTCCAGGGGATTGCAGAGCCTGAAATCAGACATGATTGGGCCAGCTCTGTTGCCAGTATGTCCTGACCTGTCATGAACTGGGCATAGAGGACAAAGAGGGGCTGGACACAGCTCAGGGGCCATTTGGGAAAGGAGATACTGGCTTCCTGGGGTTTGCATGTGAAGATTCTGACTTAGAGGGTGGCTCGCGTTTATAAGATGTCGTAGGCGATCCCTGTCCCCAATCTCATAGAGGCAACTGCCCAATCATCAGGGAGCCCTGCTTCTAATGGTCTGTCTCTGCCAGGCTAAGCAAGGGCCTATAGGGAAGTTGGCCTCTCTGGGCCTCTTATTCTTATCTGTAGACTGAGCGTGTTAACACCCACCTCACAGGGTTGTTATAAGAACTAGGGTCAAAGTCCGCGAAGTGTCTGGTGGTTGTTGAGGAGTGGTCACTTCTGTCATTCCAGAAACAGGGATCTCTGGCCTGAAGCCGCCTTGCTGAGGAGCCAGTGGGTTTCCCAGCCGCCCCGGGGACAGCACTAAGGTTCTCTTGACTCTGTCCTGACCCGTGATGGGAGGAGGAGGGATTGGTTGCTTGCCTCCCCCTCTGAGCCTCTCTCTTCCCATCTGTAAAATGACCTCTGTGCCTTTCCAGCACTGTCATGAGGATTGTTGTGACCTAGGTCAGTGGGTCCTTCAACACCTTTGAGGTTTGTGGGAAGAGCCCTGCCGGCCTCAGAGAGCTCCCCTCCCTAGTATGAACAGCTTTCCACTGTTTTGTGCCCGGTGGCTCTTCTGCAGCCACTCCCTGCCCAGGATTGTTGTGACCTAGGTCAGTGGGTCCTTCAACGCCTTTGAGGTCTGTGGGAAGAGCCCTGCCGGCCTCAGAGAGCTCCCCTTCCTAGTATGAACAGCTTTCCACTGTTTTGTGCCCGGTGGCTCTTCTGCAGCCACTCCCTGCCCATTCTCTCACAGATCCTTAGGGCCCCCACCGCTGGGCTCTGAGCTCTGAACTCAGACAGCGCCACATTTCAGGGGGGTAAGGGGTGGGATCAGCTGGTTCCAAAGCCATCAAACATGGTAGCCCAAAGACTAGCTTCAGGAAGGCCATGGATTAACCTGCTCCAGGTGAGCCACACTTCACATTGGTGTTGGCCTGGAAGGGAGGGGGAGGGGGCTGCTGGTGGCTGTGCTCCATTCCACCACCATCTCAGAAGAATCAAATCCCCACCCTAACCCACCCCAAGCCATGGCAGGCCCCAGGAACCTGGCTGCTGGACTTTGCTGTGTGCCAAGTCCTTACACACCTCTGAAGAGATAGTCGCTGCTGTCCCTCACTTTTATAGATGAGAAAATGGGCTCAAAGAGGCTCAGTCACTTGCCTGAAGTTGCACAGCCAGTGTGAGGCAGGTCTGGAATTTCTGCCTCATTCCCCTAGACCTCCCCTACAGCAGGGGCTGGGGACCTGCTCTGGGCTGCATGTTGGTACAGTATGAGCACCTAGGTCCAGCAGTGCCCTCCCCATGGGCAAGGCCATGCCAAGGCAGCTCAGTGTCCTGGGTGCCACAGCTGCGATTGGAAAGGTGCCTCTTTCCCCTGGCTGGGGCTGGCACTCGATCCCTCCCCATGTCCACACCCTGGGAAGGCTGCCTGGGCTGCAGCTGTGTGCTTCCTCACCCACCCTCAACTGTTCTTGACTCTGAGCCAGACTGCCTCCCCCTCCTTTAATTCCCAGTCCCCCCTGCACCTCAAGCACCTAAGGGCCCCATGCCTCCAAAGGCAAAGCCCACTCTGCATGCCTGTCTGTGATGGGCTCCAGGGAGGAGCTGAGTCATCCAGGAGCCAGAGGTCAAGCTGGAGGATGGGGTGGGAGGCCTTGGAGAGGCTTTAGGGGACAACATGTTCCGGCCAACGCACTAGTCACGGGAGTTTCCAGAGCCGCGAGGCCATCAAAGCAAAACACCCGACACCCTGGACCTGGGCTGGACCCACCACCCCACCCTTCTTTAGTGGCCCCTGCTCCCAGGCAGCCCTGAGACCCCCTCCCCCGCGCAGCTGCTGTAAGGGTATTTATAGCCTGAGCGTGAGGGGGCAAGGACATGCGCTTTATTTCGGAAGCGATAATTCCAGTTCCAGGTGGATGAACCCTGGAGGGCCCAGCGTCCACCCCATTCTTCCCTCACCTACAGGGTGCTTGGGACACCCCCTTCCATTCCCGCCCAGCCCATTTAGAAACGGCCCCTTCTACTGGGTTCCAAGTGTGCAGGTCAAAGGGGCGGAGCTGTTTTTTCACATCCTTCCCCCAGTTTTCAGAACTCGGGCTGCACACACGGATAACCCTGCAAGTCCCCCTACCCTCCGTCTAACCCGCGCGTGTTTAAAACTCCAATCCGTTTCCTGGAGGAGGGAGTGCGGGTCGGCGCTGACCTCTAGTGGTCCAGGCAGGTAATGCAGGGCGGGCGGACGTGCCTGAGCCGGGGTCCCCATCCCCGTCTTCTCCCCCCATTCCTGACTTCCCCGCACCTCTTTGATCCTTCGCAAAAGACTGAGCTGACAACGCGGGCAGCTGCCCTTCCTGGACTGGGAACCCTGAGGAGTGGGGGACGGAGTTTTGTCTCCTGGCACACCCTGTCCCCACTACCGCCCCGCTGGCATAGGGCCGAGTTAATGTCTCTCCACTTAACTATTTGTCAAATATTTGCGGCGCACCTGCCAGGCCCTCCGCGGCTCACAGGCTGGTGTGACGGCGGACACACTGCCAGGCAGAGTGAACAGGCAGGGACTGCGACAAACCCTGGGCTGCGAGAGCGGAAGGGAGGAGCCTGAACTCATCGGGGGCGGGGACGAAGGTCGGGCAAGTCCCTGGAGGAGGCGAGGATCTGAAAGACAAGGAGAAGTTAGCTCCGTGGAGGAACAGAGCCCCGCACTCCAGGTCAGGGGGTCGGCCCACGCACAGGCGCAACCAGCTCTGCGCAGGCGGCCCCTCCTACAGCTGCCGGGGGCGGGGACGGGGTGCGACCCCGCCCCCCAGGCAGCCACGGCTGTGATTGGCCAATCGGGATTTGACGTGTTGGCCGACTGCTGCCATGATTGGCTGTCCGATGTCCCCCGGAGGGGCTGAGCTCGCCGGCAGGTGCAGTGCGCCCCCTGGGAGCGGGGCTAGCATCTCCCTGGGTCCCTGCTAGGGCTTCTCCAGGCTGCGGTACTTCTTGCGCTGCACCGACACCGGGTCCTTGAACAGCACCGGATCCAGACGCAGGCGAGAAGACACTAGGGGCATGTGGCCAAACCCTGCCGCCAACTGGTTGATACAGTCCTGAGTTGCCGGCTGCAGCTCTGGCCCTCTCCCGGGGACCTCGGGAGGCTAAGGAGAGGAGAAATGCGTTAATGGGCTTCTCTGTCCTTCCGAACCTCCACCCCACCCCTCTGCAGCAAGAAGGATCTGGATTAGACAGTGAGAGGAAATACCCCCTCCCTTCCTCCTCCAGCCAGTGCCCTCCCAGTACCAACCCGCCCCTCTTGGCCCCTCACCAGTGGAGCGGCCTCCTGGTGCTGCTTGCCATAGGGCACCTTGATAGGGGGCAGCTTGGTGACTGCCGCTACTAGGAAGTTCATCAGGACGTCAACACAGGTGGGTGCCTCATCTGCCAGGGTCCTCAGAGCCTTGGGCAGGGCATGGGTGAAGAGAGTGTGGTAATACCTGGGCAAGGGGGGAGGACAGGGAGAGGCTGCAGCCAAGTTGCCCCCCACCCCCCGACCCCATTCTCCTTCCTGATCTCAACTCTCCCTTTGACCCCAATCCACAAGCCTCTTGCAAAAACCCTGTTCCCCTCTGAGCCCTGCCGGCCTCAGAGAGCTCCCCTCCCTAGTGTGAACAGCTTTCCACTGTTTTGTGCCCGGTGGCTCTTCTGCAGCCACTCCCTGCCCATTCTCTCACAGCTCCTTAGGGCCCCCACCGCTGGGCTCTGAGCTCTGAGCTCTGAACTCAGACAGCGCCACATTTCAGGGGGGTAAGGGGTGGGATCAGCTGGTTTCAAAGCCATCAAACATGGTAACCCAAAGACTAGCTTCAGGAAGGCCATGGATTAACCTGCTCCAGGTGAGCCACACTTCACATGGCTCACCCTACAGGACAACCTGAGCCCACCCTGCAGACATTAGGGTTATTCTTCACTTCTTATTCACTGAGAATTCCCTGCAGAGCTCTTGGGTAAATCTACAAGAGGTTCCATGTTACACATATTTGATTTAAACACGTTTAAAGAACCCCTCTAAAGAAGGCCTCCAGAATTCAGTGCCTGCTCCAAGACTGGGGTGCTTCAGGCAGCTTCTGGAAGGTCTGAGATGGCCCCCAACCCATCACACCACATTTATAAAGCATCAAGACCATTCCCTTGTCACACCACCACCACCATCAAACCCAAAAACTGTCCTTACCCACTGTATGGCTCTGTTTAAAATAACACTAGCTACCCTTTGTTGAATATCTGTGTGCCAGGGACTTCCTTTGATGATCACACCAGCCCTGTGAGGTGAATACATCCCGTTTTACAGATGAGGAAACTGAAACTCAGAGAAGTGAGGTGACTTGCCCAGAACTACACAACTGGGAAGTGACCGATCTGGGCCTCGAGCTTGGACCTCTGGGCTCTAGGCCACCCTGCTCCTGGTTCGGGGAGGGGGTCTCTGTCCCTGTGATTCCCATGTCAGGACAGGCATCTGTACCTATGGTAGAAGGCAGCTGTGGTGAGAACCATGGAGAATTCATTGGCCCTCTCAGCAGTGTAGCCCCAGCTACCCCGGGCCTTGTCCCAGAAGTGGCTCCAAGTCAGAAAGCCCACCATCCGCTCTGGGAAGCTCTGCCACACCACAAAGGCAAAGTCCACCTGGGGAGGGATACAAGTGAGCTGTGAGAAAGGACTTCCTGACCAACCAAGAACATCCAGAGATATGGAGGCAAGGCTGTCCTGGCCGAGGGGCTGGACTCAGGGGACAGCCTCAGGGGAGGGGAGGTGGGAGCCAGTACTTGGAACTGGCTAGAAGGGTAGCATGAAAGTTGCCCAGAGATGCTTAGGGGAACTTTTTCAGCTGGGAGCCACAAAAACAATGTTCTCAAAAGAGTCTGGAAAGCCCGTTAGATTTCTAAAGATGAGGCTGACTGGCTTGCTGGGGTGGTTTTGAAAGCAAGAGCCAGACCTCCCAGCTCCGGCAGCCCCTCAGACAGAGCTCCTCCATTCCCACTCCCACTGGGCTCCTGCTGGGCCCAGCTCTCACCTCACTTGTGGAAAGACTGCTCTGGGCATCGAGGCTGAGGACGGCATCAGTGCCGATGGTGCTGTACGGGAAGAAGCGATCGCTGACCTGCAGTGGGGGGTGAGGGTGGCTCAGCTGTGGGGACCCCCCCCATATACAATAAGCAGGAGCCATTCAGGAATGGTGTAGAAGGAAAGGCCATGAATATAGCCAGCCTGCCCAGAACTCGCTCTGGGACCTGGGCAACTCATTTTACCTCTCTGGATTTGTTTGCCCTTTGCTAAAATGGGGCAGTAGTCTCCAGGGTCCCTTCCAGTTTTAACATCTTAAGATTCCTCTGTTGCCACATTAGATACTCATGTCAACCCTGGGAGGGGTTGTCAAACATCCTTCACTTGAAAGAAACAGGTCCAGAGAGATGAAGGGACTTGCCCCGAACCACACAGCAAGCAGGTAGCTCAAACCAACCCAGGTTCTCAGAAGCCACCCCTCCCTGTCTCAATTTGCTGTCCTCTGCCCATATTTCTTCAAGATCCCAGGTTTCTCTCCTGTCCCTCATCTGAGACACTGATGTACCTCTCTGTCTTCCCTCAACACGTAAACCCCTATGCTCTGGAAGCACAATTCACAAGGGCCAGGGAGGAAAAACAATCATTACTATTAGACCTTCAGCTGAAACCTACTATGTCATTTCTTCAGGCTCAACTTGAAGTCCAGCTTTTGCTCAGGCCCAAGTAAAACACCCCGCGTGTACCCTCCCCAGTTCCCAGCATTAGCCCCTTCCTTCCATGCCCCTCCCCATCCCTCACCTTCCTGTGCCCCTCAATGACTGCCAAGGGCACTGCTGTCTCTGGCCACGTGGACGGGAGTGGCCTCTCGCTGCTCCAGAGAACCAAGATCTAGGAGGAAAGGGGGGTGTTCCTGAAGTCTGGGGTCTGGGGCAGAATGGGGGTTCCCAGGAATGATTTTTCTCAGGGTAAAAGAAGTGTGGGAGAGCAGCTGGATATGTGTGTATGGGAGGATGGCTTAGTTGGATCCAAGGCCCTTTCACCGCTGCCCTGCCCTTGCCCTGGCCTTCTTGAAGGCAAGTATGCTGGTGACACAAATGTAGCTACCTGTGGCGTTAGAACTGAAGAGTCGGTTGTGGTAGCCCCTGGCCTGACTCCATGCCCCATCCCCATCTTCTCTCTAAGGTTGTCATGCTCCTCCGCCAGCTCCTTTATCATTCCCAGCCCAGCTCCACTGTCTCGTCTGTGACACTGTTCCTTCTGCGCCCTGGCTGAGCTCACTGCTCCCTTCCTCTGCAAGTACTCTCAAGAGTCTACCTGGCTTCTCTGGAAGTGAGATTTGACATCTGTGTGCCAGGGAATCCTGACTGAATCTGAACCTTGGGACAGAATCTTTCCTGCTTTTTCTTTGCATCGAGCCCAGGGCCTAGCCTCAGAAGATGACTGCTGAGTGAGTGAATGCATGAATTAATGAATGCTTACTTCTCCTGTCTCCCCAAGAGGCACTTGCCTTTTAGACGGCTCCATCAATTTCCATGGGAGTGGGGAAAAAGAACAAGAAACAAGGGCCCTTCCCTGTCCCTTGCGCCCACCCTGGATCCCCAGACTCCAGCTGACAAGGGGGCAGACCTGGGCACAGTGCTGAGAGCCTGCCACCGCCTGGATGAGCTTCAGGGGGGGCTGGCCTGGGGCCCCCACCCAGATCAAAGCGCTGAATCTGCCCTCGGGGCAGGAGCCTGGGAGAAGGAGACACAGGCTATTAGGGTGGGAGGGGACAGAACCCCATGGAGAGTGACCCGAGTGAGGGACCCCAGGAGCCAGGAGAGATGTTGGGGGTTCCGGGAGAGTCTTGGTGGGGCTCAATGGATGAGGCTGGGGCAGACTTGGGGAGAGTTGAGGGGACTTCAAGTTGTCCCCTCCCCAAGGCATACCCTGTTGCAGGTGGTAGAAGGGGAAGTCATGGAGGCTCCTGGAAAAAGTGGGCAAGGCCAGGAGTGCCCCTGGTGGGCTGTTCCACAGGAGTGAGGGGCGAGCAGATGCTCCAGAGACTCGGTCCTGAATAATCTGTGAAATGAGAGAAGGGCTTGCAGAGGGGGTGGCCAGTGTGGCCATGGCCACGCTTCCCCCTTCAGGCTCTGGGGAGGGTGGCAGACTCCTGGGGGCAGAAGGGTTCAGAAGCTGCAGTCCAGAGTAGAGGGCACTCCGTGTTGGGGTTCCAGAGGTGGCAGGTGGTGGTGGGCTTTCTGCCTCCCTTTCCTTCCCCACTCAGGGCAGACATCACTAACAGGTCATGACTTTCTTTCTGGACTCCGAATCCCTCCCAAAACAGCACCCCAGGCAGGCACTGTGGATCAACTGGAATTGGCATGTGCTTTGAAATCTATTTGCCACAGCTGTCCCCTCTACCAATGGGGAAACTGAGGCCAATATTGGAGAAGAAACTTGTCCAAGATCTCACAGCCAAGTCTCAGATTCATCCCAGAAGCATCTTCAAGGGGGAACCCAAACACTGGGGCAGTAGAGATGTTTGGAGAGAGGAGTATGGAGGAGGGACAGGTCAAAGCAGGAGTCAAGGGCCAGGGCCCCCATCAGGTGAGTCCCCTCACCTCCAGAGTGGTATGGATGACCTTCTCCACTGAGGAGAAGTAGGCATCCCATAGAAACTGGGTCTGCTGACGCAGGGCGAGGACCCGTGCAGGGGGCATCTCCTGGAGGGCAGCCAGGACCTGAGGCACAGAGGTAGAAAAGGAGGAAGTCTGGGACCTTGTCAGGCCCTGACTGACCCTAGGAGGGGGAAACCTGGGGCCAGAGACCTGGGAACCAGAGCCCTTTCCCCATGGTTGTCCCAGTGGCTAGGGAGCAACCACCCTTGGCCAAGTCACAGGTAATATAGTAATCGAGCGTTCAGGGGTCACACAGAGCTGGGTTTAAATGCCACTTAGTAACCATGTAACTATGATCAAACCTCTCTGAGTCTCAGTTTCCTCATATGTAAAATGGGGATAATAATAGTACCTCCCTCATAGGATGGTCATGAGGATTAAATCAGATGACAAGCATTGAGTGCTTAGTACATTGTAGAGGCTCAGTAAATAAATGGTGGCTGTCATTACCCCCTACACGGTTCTCACCTCCCAGGGGATTCAAGGCAGGCTTGCACATATGTTTTTCAGGACTGGGAAAAATTAGTTTCATCAGATTAAAAAGTCATCGCACATTTTACTTTCCCATGTCAATCCCCACGGAGGCACTCTGATTTTGGATTTTTTTGTAGCTTTCTTTTAAATTGGGTATTTAAGTAGTCATGGACCACTGGAGCTAGGCCCATGGAGATCATTTGGTCTAACTTATCCCATTGTAGAGATGGGGAAACTGAGGCTGAAGGAGGATCAAGAGTTGTTCTCAGAACACTTAGGAGTATCTACCTCTATCTGATCCTATGGGAGCCCCAGAAGTGGTGGGGGGGAGAAATTCATCATATACATAGATGGGGGATAGGAATGAGGACTGAGGCCAGCTTGGGGGCCAGGATTCTAGGGTCCCACCCATGTCCTGGGTCCAGTCCCCACCCTGCAGGCAGGGCTCTCAGCTACCTGAAGTCGGAGCCTCTCATCAGCTACAATGGCCGCCTTGGTCCAGTCGATGACCTCGGAAAAGGGCAACTCCCAGCGGGGACTGAGAAGCACAGGGATGCAGCCAGCCTGGGGGGCAGAGGGGTCAGTGGGGAGCCCAATGCCCCCCTGCAATACCCCCTTCCAGTTCAAGTCAGCATCTGCTGTTGGTGGGGGCAAGTGGCAAAGAAAAAGGAAAATGTGTTTTGCGGGGTGGGGCGTGGGAGATGTTGTTTGCAGAGGATGCAGTAAACGTGGCCACAGGCACACCCGAATTGCAGAGTAAAGAAGTGGGCAGCCCACTGGTCCTTCCCATTGGCCTGGCCCAGAGCACCCTGCCCACTCGGGAGTGTGGGGGAACAGGCTGGGGCATGCCCAAATTGGGGTTGTACCTGCAGGGCTTGCAGAAAGTGTGAGGCATCAGGAAGGTGGCCAGGGATGAGGCAGAAGGTGGCGTTGGGCAGTGTTTCCCTGGAGTGAGTCCTAAGGGGGCACATGAAGAGGTCCCCACACACAAGAGCCTGAGACAGCTGCCCCTCACCCCACTGGCTCCCTCAATGCCCCCCCGCCCACATCCCACACCAACATTCCCAGACTCACAAGGTGCAAACCCACCCTGGTTTTCTCATACGTTAATAAACACGCATACACACATACAGCCACACACTGACAAAAACCAAGCCTCACACTGGCCCCATATGTACGGTCAGACTAAGAGGCAGAAGCCCTGGGTTCTAGTTCTGCCTCTGCCATTGGTGGCCTTAGACACTTCCTTTCCCTTCTCTGGGCCTCAGTTTCCCCATCTGCAAAATGGGAGGCGATGGGATCTGATGTTTCCAAGGCCCTGTCTGACTTGGATGTGCATGAGTTTGCCCTCCCTTTACCCTGCCACACGCAGACCTTTGGGCATCCCTCTCCTGAGTGGCCTCCATGCCCAGCCTTCCCCTAAGCCCATAAAAGCCCAGGCCCATGAAAGCCTTCTCTGTCACGAGGTGGGCTGGGCCCCCAGCCTGAAACCACACAAGAAGCTGTTGCCCAGAAGCCTCCTCGCCCAGAGTACAAGTCTCCTCTGTTCCTACACCTCCTCCCCCCAGCCCCAGGGCCACACTCAGGCTGTGCATGCCTGTGGGGGAGGGGCAGGAGTCACAGCCTCTTCAGAGCCACCTCCCTGGGATCGCTCACCCAGGGAACCATTGTCCATGACCCAGTAGCTGGGAGGAGGCTGGGGAGGAGAAGCACCAGGATCCCTGGGCTCACAGGCCTGCTTAGAGTAGGACTGATCAGTAGGGCCCAGCAGGTCCCAGGACCCTCAGCTACAGCCCATCTGGTTCTGAGCCAGGGGCTGGCTGGTTAGCTCATTTGGTTAGAGCATGGTGCTGTAACACCAAGGTCAAGGGTTTGGATCCCCATACTGGCCAGCCACAAAAAAACAAAATAAAAAGAAGAAGTAGACCCGAGAGTACGCAGGCAGTCTCTGGACCAATCCCCATTGAACAGATGGGGAGACTGAGTCCCAGAGAGACCCAAGGATTGACTCAGGGTGACAGAAAGGGTTGGGGCAGAGCTGGGACTAGAACTGACATGTGCCAACTCTGGGAGTACGCAGGCAGTCTCTGGACCAATCCCCATTGAACAGATGGGGAGACTGAGTCCCAGAGAGACCCAAGGACTGACTCAGGGTGACAGAAAGGGTTGGGGCAGAGCTGGGACTAGAACTGACATGTGCCAACTCCTGATCCCAAGTTATTTGAACCACTCTAGAGCTACTGCTTAGGGGTCTCTGTAGGACCCCAGCCTTCTTTATGCTCCACTAGATGCTCAGATGTCCACCAGGCTCCTCCTGGAAGAAGCTATAGGTTAAACATCAGGACACCTTCACCTCATTAGGAGCCACAGCACCAGCCAACAAGGTGCAGTACCCCTCACCCCCAATAAAGCTCTAAGGGACTGAAAACCCCTAGGTTAAGGCTTCAAGGAATCCAGAGAGACAAAGCACCTACTGAATAAACAAATCCCCCATTCATTCACCCCCCCATTCCCTTTTCTGTGCCTTTGCGTGTTCTTTTCCCTCACTCTTGAGTGCCCCTCCCTGCCTGGCCAGCCTGAAGAATTCCTGCTACTCTGCCTTAATGTCTCAGCTCAAACATCACCTCTTCTGGGAAACCCTCCTTGGTCTCTCCAGAGAAGGTGCTCCCTCTCTGTTCCCACGCCTTGCATGCTGTCGTAGTAAAGATCCAAGCTAACCTCCCCTGAGCATGTGCTCCAGGCACTGTTCATTCTCATAGCAGCTCTATGAGATGGGAGCTATGTGCTGTTATTATCCTCTTTTACAGATGAGGAAACCAAGGCCCAAAGAGATCACACAGCTCTTAGGTAAGGAGCCAGGCAGGCAGCTGGTGCAGCTTCTCTGCTTAACAATGCGTGTCAGACCATTGATTTGTCTGTCTCTCCTACAAGACTGAGCTACTGGAGGACAGAGGCTGTGCTTCCCTCATCTCAGTACCCCCAGGGCCTAGAAGAGCACCTCAGTGTGTGCTAAATGAATGAATGCTCAGTGTGGTGCTAGAGGGTAGATCCAGGACCAAGGTACCAAGTGTCTGGGAGGTCAATTTCAGCATAAAGTCTAATAATGGAGCTGGCTGAGAGTGCAGCTAGTGGGTGGCCTTGGGAGGTGGTGAGTTCCCCATTAGTAGAGGTAAGTAAACAGAGGCTGAATGAACACCTGTGTGGGGGGTAGAGGAGAGTTATAGAGAGAACTTGGGCATCTGTGTAGTGACCCCTGATGATGTCTTAGATTTCTGTGACTCTGTTAGGTGTCTGCCATAGTCTCGGAGCCTCAGTGCCCAAGGGTAGTCAATGTGGCTCTACCCAGGGCCACAGGGCTCTACTGGGGCCTGGCCATAGGCAGAGCTGCATTGTGACTTCCATGTTACTTCCTAGGCACTTTGGCCTTTGCAGCCCCTCCTGCTCCTGCCATAAAAATATTAAAAATTATAACTGTGTTGGTATTAAAAACAAACACTATTATATATTAAAACATTTTCTTCTCCCTAAAAGTTCATTTTTTTCCTTCCGATTTTCAAAGAAATGAAGACATTTTCATGGGCCCCTAAAAGTGTCATGGGCCCTAGACCCTTCTCTTCCTGTGCCCCGTGGATACAGGCTGGGCAGCTTTAAAACACACATTGAGTTTATGTTAAAAAAAAAAATGGGGAAGAAACTATATACATATTATTTGAACATGCACACAGTCTCTCAGAAAAGACACACAAGAAACTGGAAACTGTGGCTCCAGGAAGGAAAGCTCGGTGGACAGGAGACAGAGTGGGAGACTTTTACTGTATACCCTTTTGTACCTTTGGAATTTTGTACCATGTGAATGAATTACCTATTCATAAAAATAAATAAATAACAATTTAAATGGGTGGGGACTTATTCCAAAGCAACAGGAGACTGTTCAACCAAGGTGGAAAAACATGGGCTTTGGAGCCAGAAGTACAGGGTTTAATCCCAACTCCACTGCTTCCAGGCGCCTGATCAGAAAAGCGAGGGGGGCTGTGGTGAACAGAGAGCCTTGTCACCAAAGGCCCTTGGCTAGCTCGCTCACCTTTCTGAGCCTTGGTTTCCTGTTCTCTGAAATGGGGATAATAAAACCTCCCTTGAAGGGATTGGCAATGATTTAGGTAAAGTGCCTGCACAGCACAGCACTTGGCCCAACGCATGCACTCCCTAAATGTTAGCTTCCACATCACCTCTTCTGGGAAACCCTCCTTGGTCTCTCCAGAGAAGGTGCTCCCTCTCTGTTCCCACGCCTTGCATGCTGTCGTAGTAAAGATCCAAGCTAACCTCCCCTGAGCATGTGCTCCAGGCACTGTTCATTCTCATAGCAGCTCTATGAGATGGGAGCTATGTGCTGTTATTATCCTCTTTTACAGATGAGGAAACCAAGGCATAGCAATTAGTATTATTTTATTATAATCATTATTTATATAAAAGTGCTTAGCACAGAGTAAGCACTATACAAGGGTGTGTTAAATAAAATATTAGGGTAGGAAGATTGGAATAAGGGAGATGGACTAAGTAGGAGTAAGTGATGTTTTATGATTTTTAAAGACCCCCAACGGAGAACTGTAAAGTCTGGATGCTCCTTGTGGCAAATCATCATCTTGGTGGAAATGCTCTCTGCTGTCTAACCTGACTCTCTCCTGCTGCAGCTGAGGACTAAGTTTGCCAGAAATAGCTTGTTTTCCCATCTCAATCTCATCCTCTACCCTGGTCTCTGAGCTTGATCCTATCACGGTCTCACTCCCATCCAGCCCCCAAGGGAAAGGCTCACTTACTGCTCGGGTCCAGGGTCTTGCTCACAGCGCCCATCCCAGGGGCAGGCAGAGGAGTTGGTGCCTGCTGTGCGCCACCCACCCCTCTCTTCTGCCAGGGCTAGCAGGGCTACCCCAGGATCGGGGCTGTGCTGCCGCAGCTGGCCAGAAGCCCCACCACGCAACGGGTGGGCTTTGGGAAGAAGCGGGAGGGCCACATCAAAGCCGGGTCGAAAGATGTCCACCGTGGGGCTGGCCTCAGCCACCATAGCTTGTCCCAACTGGAAGGTCCGGAGGCAGGTGGCTGGGTGGAGACCGAGGACCAGGTGGTTCCTGCCTCTATTCCATTGCAGAGGCACTGAGCTGCACTCGCTAGTGGAGGTGTCCGGGATGAGGAGGAGGAGGAGGCAGGCCTCAGCAGGGCTGAATGTGTGGTAGCGGGAGCCTTCAAGAGAAGCCAGAATCCTGCGATGAGTCTCAGAGATTGGTCCAGCTTCTGGGTACACGAACACCTTGAGGCCATCACCCCTGCACTTTGAGGTGTCAAAGCAGGCTCCCCAGTTGCAGCTGCCACCATGGGGGGCTTGAGGAGGTTGAGGGGCATCTTCCAGGAGCTCCCCAGGCTGGGAGAAACTCTGCAGGAGATCTGCATCCAGCCAGCGGGGCCAGCCTTGGGGGACCCCTGGCCGAGATCTGGGGGGCACTGCCAGGCGAAGAAGGGGGAAGATTCCCAGGAAGCTGAGGAGGAGCCAGGAAGCTGACAGTGCCAACCAAAGGGACTTTCTTCTCCACGACTGCATGTGGCCACCCACAGCCAGGGCTGGGGAAAGCTGGGAGGCCTCTGCCGGCAAGCTGGAAGAGCAAAGACCTGAGGGTGGGAGACTCAGTCTTCTAGCCCAGCACTCTCATGGTACAGATGGGAAGATTGAGGCCCCTCGAGAACAGGCTGCCTGCCTAAGGTCAAATAGCAAGTCACCAGCCAGGCATGAGGAGACCAGATAGGACCCAGCTTTCTGGACCTGCCTTCCTGTGCTCAGGACTTTGCTTCCTCTGCTTTTGGACAACCCAGCCAGGCTTTGCCCAACCAGCAGGGCCCCCTGCCCTTCAGTACTGCTCAGGCTGATGCAACCCCTGTCCAGACCGCAAGGCCGTGTCCCTCTGCCCTCCTGGCTGCATCCCCTGACCTTGCCCTTGACCAAGAGGAAGGCTGTCTGCCAGGCCATGGGGGACCAGTCAGGGCTCCCATGGGGGGCAGCTTGGCCGGGAAGCGGGGCTGGAAGGAAGCAGGGCTTGTCTCCCCACTTGTCCCCCTGTCTGAGCAGCTCCAGTTGCCTCTGTGCCCGCTAGCAGCCACTCCCGGGCTGTCAGCCCTGTGGCTGGAGCTAAAATTAGACCCTGTGCCCCATGTGGACCATCAGTGTCAGCTGAGGTCAGGGCTTGGGTGCAGCTAGTGTCCCCCACCTAGAGGGCTGGGAGAGCTTAGAGTCCTGGTCCTCTTCCACTCTGCTTCCGCCCCAGCTCAGGCACCTCAGTCCCTCCTTCCCCCAACCCAGCAGCTGGCCTGCACCCTCTGGCTTGGGGCTGTCATGGTGCAGAGGCCAGGGCCGTGGGGCCAACTCTCTGCTCCAAGTCTTGCTGACAGGTCATCTCCTGTTCCCTCCCCAGGAAGCATCTGGCCGGTCTAGGTCTCTTTCCTAGCTGCATCCTGGCTCCTCCCTGGCCAACCCTGATTTGCTCCTAGCTGGGAGGCTGGGTCTCCACTTAACCCCTTCCAAGCCAGTTTCCTCTATTGCTAATAATGATAACCAGCAGGTACCAGCCTCACAGTGGGTCATGAGCTATCACAGCCTCTGTCTCTCTGAATCCTCCAGCAACCTGCCAGGCCAGAGGTTTGTCTGTCATTTTTTTTTTTTTTCCTTTTAGTCTTTTTTCGTGTCTGGCAACGGATTGCAACCCTCAGTGTCGCGCCCGTACCGGACTGGGACCGGCAACGGGATCACAAACCTCGGTGCTGCGCCCGCACCTCGCTCAGCCAGTGAGCAGGAACCGGTCTGTATGTGGGATCCGAACCCTCGGCGGGAGCGCCACCGCACTCCCAAGCGGCGCACTGTAGCAGTGCACCACCGGGCCGGCCCTTGTCTGTCATTTTTTACAGATGAGAACAGTGAAGCTCAGAGAGGGGATGCCCCAGCTAAGAAGAGGCAAAGCAGGGATGTGAACCCCAAGCTCCTGACCGTTGGTGCCCCAGTTGGCTGTGTGAACGTGGGGAGTCTACACATCAGCAGGTGAGAAAGTCAACAGACGAGATAAGTGTGGAGGTATGGAGTAGAGGAGTGAGTTGGGTAAGGTGTCCTCGACTGTCCCCAGGATTGGTCCCCTCTTCCTTCAGCACCCCCACCCCCAATCTCATCCAGCTCAGCCCTTTGTTCTGGTCCATATGGGAAATTCTTCCTGAACTTGGCTCTCCATTAGTCCATGCTCCATTGAGGTATTCCCCTGGGCAGTTCCTCGGTCTGGTCTGTGCTCCGAAAGGGAAGTTCGAATGGGTGATGTCATCCACTGAGGAATTGCTGAGGTGAGAGGGGAGGCACAGACTCTGGCCACCACGACCCCAGTCTGATGAGAGAGGGCACAGAGAATCAGAGGACCTGGAGCAGAACACTGCCTCTGCCCCTGTTGGGCTGGGTGGTGTTGAGCCTCTGTCTCCTTATCTCTAGAATGGAGATAATCTCCACCAGGAGACCGTTGCCAGGTTAAATCCAGGCCTCTCCCATGGGGGCCCTCAACAGTGGTGGCTTCCTTTCCCTGCTCACCTTCCCCTGATCTCAGAGGGCTGCTGATCTGATGAGCGAGCCACCACGGAAACCTTTTGCCCTCAGTGAGCAGCCAGTCCGAGGGTGGGGCACAGTTCATACACCCGAGAATGTCCTCAAAATGGCCAACAAAGGGGAAACTGGCCTCTTGGCACTAATGGGTAGTCACTCAGTGCTAGACTGCGTTCCAGCACTCATGGGGCTCGCTCGTGCTAAAAGAGGCCCTGGCACAGCTGTCTGCTGCTCCTGCTCTGCACGCCTCCTCTGATCCCTAGCCTGGCCAGCTCCTCCTCAGCCTGCAGGAAGCCTCCCCAGTCTCCTCAGGCTGGGCTAGGGCCCCCCTCTAGGTTCTCATGCCATTTCTTCATCCCTCTATCCCCACACTCATTCATCTAACTTACGAGTATTCAATATGGGCCAGGTTCTGTGCTAGGCTCTGGGGATACAACATTAAGAGGAACAGCTAACATTCACATTACACTTACTATGTGCCAAGCACACTCTGAGCGCTAAAGTGTTATTAGCTCATTTAATCCTCTCCCCACCCCTGTGAAGGAGATACCACTTTTATCCCCATTTTACAGATGAGGAAACTGAGGCCCAGGTAGCTCAAGTAACTTGCCTAATTTCCCACAGATTAGCCTGGATTTGGACCCACGCAGTCCGTTCTTTTAAGCACTGCACCATCCTACCTCTTGAGTGAGACAGACATGCCCCACCCTTGCCAAGCTTGCTGTCCAGGGAAAGAGACCAGTAACCAGGCGGTCTGTGGGAGTGCACAGAGGGGCTGCCTAACCCAGGAGCCATTGAAGACTTCTGAGGAGTGATACCCACCCTAAGATTTGAAGGACAGCTATGGGAACAGACAGGAAATGGCAGGAGTAGTGGCAGGGGCAGCTTTTTTTACTGGCCTGTCACTCACTCATTCAACAGCTATTTAATGAGCCACTGCTGTGGGCCAGGCAGGTGCTAAGGTAGGAGTAGTGGCAGGGGCAGCTTTTTTTACTGGCCTGTCACCCCATGAGTCACTCACTCATTCAACAGCTATTTAATGAGCCACTGCTGTGGGCCAGGCAGGTGCTAAGGGCTGTGAACAAAGCAGACAAAATCTTGCCCTCATGGAGCTTACCTTCCAGGGAGGGGAAATAGGCAAGAAGCAAAAGAAACAAACAAAATATCTCATGTGCTATTTGGCAGTAAGGGCTGCAGAGAAGCAGGGGGTGGGGTTTGCAATGTTTAGTGGGATTAGTGCAGGCCTTGTGGAAAAGCTGGCATTTGAGCAAAATCCTGAGGAGGTGAGGGAGGGAGTTGAGGGTACTTCGGGGGAAAGATCATTCCAGGCAGGGGGGACAGCCAGGGCACAGGTCCTGAGGCCGGAGTGTGCCTGCTGTGTGAGAGGCAGGAACTGACCTTGCTTTCACAGCCCGGCTTGGACTCCTGGGAAGAGGAAGGGACGGGGACCCCAGCCAGGAGCCCTGTTGAGCCAGCTGTGGTGTAGGTGAGCCACGATGGTGGCTCGGACCTGGGTGGCAGGGGTGGAAGGAGTGAGAAGTAGTTGGATTCTGGATATATTTTGAGTCGGGGAAAAATGACAGATTTGCTGATGGATTGGATGTGTGGTTTGGCTGAGCCACCAGGCAGGATGGAGTTGTCATCAACTGAGATGGGGAAGATGGAGGGGGAAGTTTTGGGGAAGAAGATCAGGAGTTGGTTCTGAGGCTCTCGTTCATACTTCTCATCCCCAGCTTGCTGCATGACTGAAGAAGTAGATGGATGGACAACGTCGGGATGGAAAGGAGGCCAAGGCCAGCTGGTTAGGGGATTGGGGGGATACCCGATCCTGCTCCAGCTCGCCGTCCCCAGTCTACCATGGCTGGCTCATGCCCATGCACATCTGTGGACACACACAGAGGCCTCCTCCTACATTCTTCCCTGCAGGGAGGCTCTCAGGCCAGCTAGAACCCGGGCTTGTCTGGACTGCGATTCACATGGGGAATCGCAGTTGACCCGGGGAAGAGAAGGTGGGACATCCTGGCAGACAGGGATGAGCTGCGCTTATCCTAAAAATAAATCTCGGGGATCTGCCAAGGACTCTGGGCGTCTATTAGGCTCTTCAGTGCTCATGAAAGCCATCAGAATTCTCCATCTTGTAGTTGGACTCTGATCAATGGGACAGAAACCAACACTTCGGGGAAACAGGAGTGGGCCAGGGCAGGAAGGAGAGGACAGAAGTCAGGAGGAGAAGAAGGCCTGGACTCTGGTTCAGTGCAAGAGGCTTCCTGGAGGAGGCAGAAGACTTGTTTCCTGCAGGGCAGGGTTGAAGCAGGCCTTTGCTGGATTTGAGGACGAGGAGGTGGTCCGGGTGGCATCTCGGAGCTCTGAGCACTGCAGTGTTTGTTTCATAGCTGTGGTGGTGTCACACCTGCCTGGCAGCTGCCTGGGCATGAAGTTGCTTCCTGCCTGAGGCACCAGGTATCATTATTAGCGCCCGGGCAGAGAATGAGGGCTAACAACAACATCATGTTTGATCTGAAGTGTTCCCTCTCTGCACCCTGCTTGGCCCTCCTTCTCTCTTTTCATTCTTTTCAGGCTAGACCTGAAATCTTCAGAAGGAATGGCTCTAGTCTTCAGAGGGGAAGGGACCTTGGAGCACTATATAGTGTGGTTAAGAGCACAGCTCAAGTGCTGTTAACAAGCTGTGTGTTCCTGTGCAAGTTACTTCACCTCTTTGTGCTTCTGTTTCCACACATGTAAAATGGGGCTGCTAATAATAGCTCCTTCCTTAAGGGCTTGCTGGGAAGATTAAATGAGATAATGAATGTATAGCATTCAGCACACCATGCCTGGCCCAGAGCAGGTATCTGACAAATGGTATCTATCCTCCGTCCCTCTCCAGACCCAGGGAGGGGAGATGACTTGCCCAAGGGGCACTAAGCTGTCCATCTGGGGTAGATCAGGACCAGGACTTGAGTTTCCCCCTCCTGTCCCCTATTCTTTTTGCTTCATCTCCACCTCCCTTCAGGGAGAAAGAAGACACTTGGACTCCAGGCGATGATCACCGTGGAAACCCATCTGCTGCTTCTTGCATGCTGCCGTTTGTGCCTCCAGCTCTGGGTGTCTCACCACAGAATTAGCAAGTGTGGCGGGTGGAGGTTTTGGGAGGCTCTGAGGTCTCAGCTCTCCCTTGCTTGAGCACAGAAATGTCCAAACCACAGGGCTCCACCAGCCTCTGTGTAATCAATCAATCAGCCCCAGCTAGAGTGAGTATGCCCCGCAGGCCCCCTCAGGATGCAGAGCAGTCCCTGCTCATAGTGGGGAACACATACCTGGGCCCTGCCTGGTGCAGGACTGGGGAAGCAGCCCAGGGGACCCAGGGAGCGGGGGTGGGGAAAGCAGGCTCTGGCCTCTGCTCCTCTCCCAGGCACAGCTATGTGACTTTTTTCTGGGCCTTCACTTTCTTATCATCAGCCTAAATGGGTAGCAGGATGAGGCTATCCAGAGCAAAAATACGTGGAATTCTTACAAGTAATCCTGATCTAGGTTGGAAGGTCATGCCTTCCATTTCCCATCCTGTCAACACTTGACTTTGTTAAGGAGAATTACACACAACTTGGAAGTGAGGCAATGAGGAGACTGTGTGACCGTCATTGTCCCTCTGGGGCATGTCTAACAGCCCCCAAGTGCCATGTGACTCCCTAGGGGAGGGCCACTGTGTTTGACTTTTTACCCCCTATGCATGGGGGCCCAGCCATTTCATAAGTCTGAGAACTAAGGTGGTAATTTGTAGAAAACAAATAAGATACAAATGGTTTCTGACCTGTAGACATCACCCCAAAGGTTATAGGTCATGCACTGTAGAGCATTTGCTAGTTTAGAATCCATTAGCAATTGTGTTCCAGCATTCTCTGTGCTTCATTCACTGTCACCAACGAGTCCTCGGAACCAGCTTCATCGTCCTGAGAGTTTCCTCATGAATGAGTGGAATACAGCTTTGACACCTGCTCACTATGTATTTGTATGAGTTGGTTTTTTAACATTGGGAGGATTATAATTTGGAAGCTCACTGAGCTGCATTTTCCTCTTCTGTAAAAAGGGGAATTCGAGGGATGGGCTGAGACATTTGCTGACCACGTGCTAGGCACTATTGAGCTCCTTAAATCTGTAATTTCTTAAGCCTCACAGCAAACCTGGCGGGGCAGGTGGCTATTCTCCCCATTTTACAGATGAGGCAAGTGAGGTTCAGAGAGGTGAAGTAATTGCCCTGAGATTACACAGCCAGTGAGCAACAGAGCCTGGATTTGAGCCGCTGCATCACAGGGGGCTAATTCCCTCTTCACAGGTTTACTGTGGGACTCTGGGTGAGACACCATGTGTGACAGTGCTTGGCAAATTGTGCAGGTGTGTATATATGTGAATAACTACAGTCAGCCCAAGTCTATCTTCCAATCAGCCACACCTAGACATGGTCCAAGGTCTGGGCTCCCCTACCCTGGGAGGTGGGTTTCTGCTTCCTCTAAGGTGGGTTTCTGTTACCCAGAGAAAGCCAGAGGGGGTTGAGATGAGCGGCCGTCTCCATCCCCGGTTCAGCCCACGCCCCCATACACTGGACACTGTCTGTGCCTCCAACTGCAGGCTGAGCTTCTAGCCCTGGCCACTCCTTTGGGGCCTGTGCTCCTGGGGCAGGGGTCTGGGGAATAGCAGGACTGGACAAGCTGAGCACAGTACATCTAAACCCTGACCCTGAGTCATTCTGCTCCATTCTCCAGAATGTTTCACTTGAATGAGACCCTCCCTGAAGGCTCCAAAAGCCATGCCCAGCTTCCATCAAGGTAGTCCCAGGACCATCCCAGAGCAGCCCATGGGCAGACACCTCCACCGCAGCCCTGGGTGCCAAGGGGTTAATCAATGGAGCCAGCCTGGCAAATGTTTACCTAGGAGGCAGGCTGCTGTGAACCCCAGGCAATTAGCAGTCTGCTTCTCAAAGCCAAGGCAGGAAGATTTATTTCTCCTCTCCTCCCTTCCCAGGGATGTGGCTTGGCAGCTTTCTGCTGTTGGCTCTTTTTGGAGATGCCCAGAAGAGGGGTGGGAGCTGGGGGCACGGATCGGGCCTGGGGAGAAGCAGACCCAGAGGTGGGCTCGGGCTCTGAGGAGATGAAGGGAGCTCAATTCCACTGCTCTCTGAGTCTTGGCCCCACTTCAGGAGCCTGGCCCCAGACTGATATTCCTTAATAGGTGATAATTACCGCTGTAATTGATGGAGCCCCTGCAAAGGCTGGGCCCCTTACGTACTGCCTCATTTAATTCCCACACCCACTAGAGGAGCTAAGTGCTCTTATCTCTGCTTCCAGATTAGGGAAGGGAGATGCAGAAGTGAAATCACTTATCTGGGGTTACCCAACTGTTGGGTGGTAGAGCAGGGACCCAAGGTCTGTCTGACATCAGATCTGCTGGATTTTCTACTTTCCCTTATGGGAGAAAAAGCAGTTGATTTGTTGAGTACCTGCTATATGCCAGGCACTATGTTGGACACTTTATGTCTATCTCTAATCCTGGAGGAATCATTTCCTAGAATCCCTGTACTAACCATGAACATCAGAAGAGTGAGCTAGTGCAGACCATAACCTGGGAAGGATGCACAGGTGTGAATCCCCAAAATAAGAACAGATGCAGCTCGAGTTGCCTCTTGCAATCTACCGGGTATCTTCGTCGGATGTTCATCAGGTCCCGACAGCCCCACCTCCAAATGAACCCTGAAACGAGCCTCACTCCCACCTCCCTGCCCCCACCCCAGGTGAAGCTGCCCTCATTTGGCACCTACATCACTGCATGGGCCTCTGGTCTCTGCTTTCTTCTTGTCCCACTTAAATACTTTCTCCTCACAGCAGCCAGAGGGCCTTGTTAAAATATAAACCCATTGCCTCCTGGGTTTTGACTGTGTATTAGCCATGTCTTTTTCTTTTCTGTATTTTGATGCTTTGACACCAGGGCCTTGCTGACCCTGCACCCTGCAGGGACTGCTCCTCCCAGAGCTATCCAATTCCTACAGACAGTAAGCAAGTGACCCTGGAGTGTGCCTGTCAAATGCAAGCCAACCAATCAAGGGCCCACACCTCAACCACCTCCTCTATTGGGCTCTCACACTAAGGGCCACTAGTCCCCTGCCTAATCACCCCAGGGCCAGATACCAGACAACTAGGAGCAGCCCTATGCCCCAGAGCCTGCTGAAATTATTCAAACTAGTCAGTCCTAAGCCTGCTTAGCTGCCTTGCCCACTCTTTCAGAGGAAACCACAATAAAGGCTCTGGCTCCCGTTTTCCCCTGGCTCCCTCTGCCTCCTGACCGGTCCTGTTGCTTCTCACGTGGCCCCCTGTGGCATGGTGTGCCCTTCCAGTTGTCTCCTGATCTGTTGGCCTCACCACACCTAAATGATAATAAAATGTATATTTCAAAGCAAGCCTCTAGTGGCTTCCATCATACTTAGAATAAAATTCAGGCTTCTTTTCATGGCCTAGAATGCCCTCTGTGATCTGGTGCCTGCCTGACCTCCAGGACCTTGTTTCCTGTGCCCCCACCCCCCGCCCCACTGTGCTCCAGACTTCTTTGTGCTCCTCAGACCCAGCAAAGCTGTTTCCACCTTAGGGCCTTTCCCCTGGCTATTTCCTCTGCCTGGAATGTTCTTCTCCCAGAGCTCAGCATGGGTGGCTCTTTATGGACATCCAGGGCTCACTATCAGGGAAAAATAGCAGCTAACACTTACTTCTTAGGTGTTTTCCATGTGCCAGACACACTATTTTATATACTTTCCATGTGTTCACTCTTTGAATCCTCACAACAACTCAGTAAGGTAGGGATTATTTTTGCAGGTGAGGAAACCAAGGCTCAGAGAGGTTAAGTGACATGACAAAAATCTCACAGCTAGGGCTGCCTGGTTAGCTCTATTGGTTAGAGCACAGCCTTATAAGACCAAAGTCACAGGTTCAGATCTCTGTACTGGCCAGCTGCCCCCTCCCCACAAAAAAAATCTCACAGCTAACAAGCAGGAGAGCTGAGACTCAAACCCCACAGCCAGTTTCCAGAGTTTACGCTTGCTC